TCTCTCTCTCTCTCAACACAGAAAGTAAAGGGCAGATGAAAAAGTGTTAACTTCTTAACACTCTGTTATCCCTTTATGGTGATCCCTTTATGGTGAAATATGTGAAGTTTGCCTTGATGTCATTATAAGGAGTGGTCACTATTGGCCATTCCCCTGATCAACTTTAAAATACTAGCTTGCTAAGTTCTGTTGTTGGCTAGAGAAACAGCTTCAAAGAAGTGGGGCTCCTGGCAGTAAAGAAGAGAGCTGCTGAGAGGAGCTGACTCTGGGAACCCAGATGAGCAACTTGTCCAGCAGAGATGCTGCACTCATTGAGATGTAGTAGGATTTCTTGACGAGAGAAAAAACATGAAGGCACTGAAGTGTTAGAAGTGAGTTTGTTTTGCCCATATGTACCTCACCAACCTCGCAACCGTTTCACTTTAAGTTTGTACCCACTTTTTCCATGTATACTCTATGTGTTTGTTGGAGAATGTACCTCATGGAGAATGCCTCAGGTTTATGGGGGAATGCTTGGTAGCTGCTGTATGACATCTTTTCACTGAGCTAATTGAGTCTTTGGTTGACGATTAAGAGGAAACCTCTCTTGTTGGTGTTTATGAGCTAAAAGCTCTAGGAATATAGACATAAAATATCCCTAAAGCTTTTAGGGAGTACCTAAAGGGGGAGACCTCTGGGATTTCGACTTGCAAACTCCTGAGTGCCAAGTTGGGGAACTAGACTTTGGAGGGCTGGTGCATATGGAGATGCCAAAATAACAAAGGACAATTCCTAATTGAATTTAACTGTCTTTAGAGGTTTAGATACTTAGGAAAATGGGCAATTAACTACATGCATGCCTCATTTGATCAAAATGAGTCCTCTTTTGAACTAAATGACAACATGTTGGTCTAAAAGATCTGCAGCTAAAGGCAGTCCCTTAGCTTCTACTTGATGATCCGCTTTAATGTGTGACCCTAGTCCTAGTTGTCATGACACAGGACAGTCTTAGTTTCCTGAGATTTTGTAGGGGGGGGGGATATTATCTGGAAACTTTACAGTGAGAGCAGCTCTCTGGCTGGGATAGGCTTGACCTGAATCCAGCACTGGGCAGGAACTAAATAGAGCACAACTACCATTCACTTTTCTGGTTTTGACTCTCAGTGCTTCTCAGAACTATAGTGGATGGCCAGGTGATCCCTAGCTTGGTAGTTCCTTTAGGCTGACACTGGAGCAGCTTCTCCCTTAGAATTTGAGATTTTGCCTGATTCTCGGAGATTTTCATCGCAGGTAGGGAATCTGCAGACTTTCCCAGGGCTGTTCTCCAAAGGTTTCATGAAAAGTAAGAAGAAAGGCTGATAGCTTTTGTGCTTGGCTTTATTAATAATGAATAATAATAGCTAGCATTTATATGATGCTTAAAGGTTTATTAAACACATTACCAACTTTCTTTCATTTGATCACTGGTTTTAATGAATTGGGTGTCATAGGGCCAGACTGCTTGCTGCATATTGTGATGCCTGAATTTTCATGAGTAGAAATTCATTTCTTTGTTTTCAGGCTTCAAGAGTTCTATGAAAATGCAGGAATAATTACTTAAGCAATTTACCAGTTGACATATTAGTTAGGGATTAGTTAATAATAATAATGGTAATAATAATAACTGGTATTTATATTTAGCTATAGAAAAACTTGGATTGTCAAGATTATTGTTTGCTATAAAAATCTGCCAAAGCACACTATAACTATCTCACTTTTATCCTCACAACAACTTTGGCAGGTAAAGCTATTATTATTCCCCTTTGACAGATGAGAAAACTGAATCAAACTGAGGTTAAATGACTTGTCCAAGGTAACACAGCTGGTAAGTGTCTGAGGCTAAATTTGAACTGAGTACTCTACTTGCTGTACCACCTAGATCAGATCTCCTGAGACACAAATATAGGGTTGGGGAGGACAAAGAATATGGGATAGGGGGAGGCTGGAGGCTGGGAGACCTTGAAGGGAGAGGGGGCAGAAGGGAAATATGGAGCCGAAAACAAACTTCACCTATTTTACACAATTTCACTGAGGGGTGGTCCTGAGTGAGTTGCCAAGGCATTTCATTTTTAAACTGGTACATAAACTGCCATGTCTGGTATTTATTTACTTTTAAACGCTGGTTAATAAGTTTTTATCCACTAACTTCTCTGTACTGATTGTGTAGAATCAATCATGTCTTAGAAGGGACCTTATAAGTCATCTGGTCAAACCTCCTCATTTTACATATAATCCAAAACTGAGACCCAGGGAGGGGGAAGCATCTTTGGGAAAGTTACTTACTGCACACATTAAAGAGATACAAAGGGAGGCTGTAGAATGAACCATAATTTTAGAGCTGGAAGTGACTGACCTTAGAGATCATCTAGTTTAATTTTCTCATTTTACAGATAAGAAAGCTGAGGCCCCAGAGAGGCGGTAGATTGTCTATGGAAAGTTTCTTTCTAGACACTTTGGAAGGATCAGAAAAAAAAGACTACCTTTAGGGACCTGGATTAGTTTTGAAATCCAGTGAAAAGCATTTCACTCATTTTGTTTACATTTTATATCAGTAACCCTCAAAAGGGTACCATATGTGAGTAGGAAAGAAATTTCTCATTTTTTAGTATCCATCAAAATACCCAACCACAAAATTCTTTAAAGGTAGAAATATTTTTGGAGTAAAAATTCACTTAAACTTCACTGGAAAATGCACATTTTGATAGAAAAAAAGGGAGAGGGAAAATTGCAATGTTTATTTATGCCAAAGATCGACATTAGAAATTAGTTCAATGGTTAAGATTTGAATTTTAGCAGTTATCTGGTGCTATGATTCTTCTGTGTATAAAAAGGAGGAGGATGTGGTGGTGAGAATTGCAAACCATTTCCAGGAAATCAGTAGAGAGAGATTTTTCGATTAATTTCATTACATGTTAGCCCCACCCCAATCCCTCCACTTCACCCAGAGGGATGTGAGTTTCTGCTTTGTCCCACATTGAATCCTCAGAATTACAGGGGAAATCAGGAAGAGAAAATTCTCTGAAGCTGTTGAAAAACTAGAAGACCTTGTCAAGATTTATTGTTAGCTGTAAAAATCCAATCTTAGAACCTTCAATATCGAAATGTGCTGATTATCTCCTGGTCTTCGCTTAGGATTTAAGGGATCCCAGCTTTTCAATTTCATCTCCTTACCTGCCAAAACCTTCAAATATTGCATAGCAACAGAACCTTTGAAACCCTTGGTAAATTGCAAGTGCTGGGCAAATGGAGAGGACCTTTAAGAATATGTGCTTCCTGATTTAATAAACCAGAATTAAACGTCTCTGGTATTATGATTCAGATGGCTTGAGGGCATAACTCTTGAGATAGAAAGGGCCATCTGTAGGGACCATCACTTCTTTGTTCTATATGGTACCTGGCCTTAAGAATTTCAGATGATAATGTGGATACTTAAGATTGTGTACATAAACATATATGTATATACACACACACATGTTACTATGTAGTCAACCATATACAGATAAATGTATATTATATATGTATACATTGACATACATATATGTTTATTCACACAAAAGCATACATATATACATATATATATCTACTCTCTTTTTATTCAGTCATTTTTCAGTCATGTTTGACTCTTTATGACCCTCTTTGTGATTTTATTTGCAAAGATACTCAAGTGGTTTGCCATTTCCTTTTCCAGCTCATTTTATAGATGAAGAAACTGAAGCAAACAGGATTGAGTGACTTGCCCAGGGTCACACAGCTAGTAAGTGTCTGAGGCCAGATTTGAACTCAGGAAGATGAGTTTTCCTGACTCCAGGACCAGCACTCTATCCATTGTGCCACTCATCTGCCTGTATACACACATATATGTACAGGATGTGTGTGTATACACACACACACACACACACACACACACACACACACACACATCTCCTATACATACAGGATGTACCGGATGAAAAGCTGGGTCAGGAGTAGGGAACCTGCCACTTTGAGGCCACATGTGGCCCTCTAAGTCCTCAAGAGTGACCCTTTGACTGAATCCAAACTTCACAGGGGTGGGTGAAGGGAAAAGTTGTCTTGAAAAGTGTTGATCTATTGACAAAGAACTTCACTATGAATGTACTGCCTCTAATTATAGGGAAGATTAAGGCAGCTAAGTGGCACAGTGGATAGAGTGCCAGGTCTAGAGTCAGCAAAACCTGAATTCAAATGTGGCCTCAGACACTTCCTAGCTGCGCGACCTGGGGCAAGTCACTTAACCCTGTTTGCCTCAGTTTCCTAATCTGTAAAATAAGCTGGAGAAGGAAATGGCAAACCACCCCAGCGTCTTTGCCAGAAAACTCCAACTGGGGTCATGGAGAGTCAGATGCAACTGAAACAACTGAACAAAAACAGCAACTTCCATGTACTCATCAGAGTACAGAAAAGCTAAGAGCAGACCTGTGTCTTGGAAGGTCAGGAAGCATGTTCTAACCAGGGCACTCTAATGATTTCTTTGGGTCAGAGACACATGGAAACTGCAGGACTCAGTCTCACAATCTGAGATTTATGTTTCTGGCTCCAGTCTTGAAGAAGCAGTGGCATAGCCTATCAGCTCAAGAGATGGTATCTATGAAGAAAATCAGAGTGGCTCAAGAGGTGAGATCATCTCACTCCTAGTTTCCTGGATATAAGAGTGGGGATTTCCAAGATCCTCACAGGAGTAGAAGATGGAGCATAAAAGCTTTCTTAACCTCATGTTCCCAACCCTAGCTGGAAGAGAAGCAAAGGACTATAAGTAACTAAAATCATGCCATAAGGGAACAAAAGCCCTGGACTTTACCCTGCACTGTTCCTATGAATTTCAAACACTGAAAATCTGATGTGAAGCCAGGTTGCTTTTCTTGTAAACATAAGTGTATTTTCCTTCTAGGGGAGTCTATACCTTTAGGGTATTACAATAAGACTATATGACTGTATAGGTCTTTGTGGAGTGAAATAGGACTCACCAAAATGTTGGAATGTTGCCTATCTAGCATCGCCATGTTCGTCTCCCTTCTGACAAGAATTAAAGCCACAGGATGGTGCTATGAGTCTAGAGGACTATAGTATCCTGGGGAAAGGAAAGGGAAATTCTAATTCTAATTCTTCTTCTTCTTATTATTATTTTAGCTTTTACATAGAAATATTTACTTCAAAAGGTATGATCAAAAATACACAAATAGACATAATTCCCAACACCCTCCCTCTTTACACTACCTCAGTTTCTGGGGAGAAAGAGATTTGTTAGGTTCATAAGAACATAGTTTCAGTACCAAGTCTAATACCCCCTTGGAATTCTATTGATTATTTATGAGCTACCTTGTGTTTATGTGTTTTCTGTGTTGTTTATAGACATATGTGACTCCTTTGCATTTTCTGAATTTAATGTAGGGTGTAGCTATGCTTTACCTAGTATATGTATTGTTACCTTGGACGCTTGTATGGGACTAGGATTCCTTTTACCTCCGTAAAACCTATATCCAAATTATAATCTGAGCTTTCCCAGAAGAAACACAGGATGGGACCAACATTTGTTAAAAAGATACTGTTTTGTGGCACTGACCTCAAATATTTAAACTGGTCCATGCAAATCTGAGGCTTTGGGGTACTGTGTCATGGTTTGTATTTAGTTTTCTCTATTAAGTATTTAAAAGAATTGCTTGACTACATGAGGTTGTCTTAAATTAATACCTTATTTCAAAGAAGCAGAGACAATAGCTATATAGGATGCATTAGTCAGAACTAGGGTCAAGTTAGTCAAATATACTTTGCTATCATTTTTCATCTCAAGAAAATGTTTCAAGTTCACAAAGTAAAATAAATTGCAGACAACCATTGGGTTCTATAAGTATTAGAGATTCCAGAAAACTTTCCACTGCTGAACTATCTGGTTAGTTGTGTTGTCTTTGTCCTCTTTGCAACTCATTTTCTTTATTTGTAAAATGGAGAGAGTAATACTTGGCCTTATCTATCTCACTGGAGTGTTGTAAGGATCAAATGAGATGATGTATGTGAAAGAACCTTGTAATCCTCTAGCACTATATAAATATAAGCTTTTTGTTATTAGACAGCCAATTTACTAGTCTGTACTCGTTTTTAGAGTTTTTTTTAAAAAAAGTTTTATTGTTGCCTTTTGTTTTTATATCACTATCGCTTCCCAATATATTATCCTTCCTTCCCACTCCCCTTCCCTCACATTGAACCATCTCCAAACTTAGGGAAAAAGAAAAACAGATAAGTAAAAGCAGCTAATGCATTGACTAGTTCTGACAACTGGTGCAACATTCTGCATCAGTAATCCTATCTACCAATAATTGATTCATTTTTCTTTTTCGCAATATTAGCACCGTCTCTAGTAAAGCCTTCTTCCAGTACTTTGTGGTGTTTAGGTGACCCTGGGTTCTCAATGATTATGCCAAATCTTAGAGGTTCTATCAAGCTGAAAAAGGATAGGTAGCTGAATGTCATCCAAGGCATAACCTGGCTAAAGTCTGAGAAGTTCATTAACAAAGGATTGTCCATTAAGTGATGAATTGTTTGTACAACAACTCATGAAACTCATGAAACCAACCACTATAGGGTGGAAGGAAGTGTATGTTGATAAGACAGAGCACCCACACTGATGAATCAAAGGAAGTCTTCATGGCTAATTTGAATCAACCTCCATGATTTCCAAGTAAATCAATAAGTTGCATTACGGTCTGGGGATTTGAGTTATATAGACATGATCAGTGAAAAACAAAAGCCAAATCTAGTGCAATAGTTATCCAACAGGCCGAGAATTTCTTCTGAAATTTTCTCCTTTTTACTTTCTTCACTGACTTAAAATATCCCCTCTCCCTCTTTGTCTCTTCCCTCCCCTCTTCCTTCCCCTCCCTTCCTTTCTCTTTCTCTTCCTCTCTCTCTCTCACTCTCCAGAAACTAAAGGAGTAAAAACATATAATTCAACAGCTATACCTGCTACCTCAGTCATGATTTAGGATGCCCTTCACAGGTAATGTGGCATATTTTTCATGATATACTGGTTTGCTATGAGGAGTAGTTTATCATTTTTCACCTCAAGAAAGCATTTAAAGTTAGCAAAGTCAAATAAAATGTAGATAGCCATTGGGTTACCATAAGTATTAGAGGATCTAGAAAACTTTCAACAGCCAAACAAAAAGAGAAACAATTTCCTTTATATTAATGTGCAAAACTACAAAATACCTGAATTATCAATATTTAGATTTTCTGATTTATTCAGCTTTCTAAAATAAAATTTCACTGTCAACTTGTAGGAAAGTTGTTTTTCTGTCTCTAGGAGAATTACTTAATAGTAATACAGCTCAGCAAACTTCAGGATAAAATAGAATTAATTATTCTAAATTCCAGCGGAAATTGATGAAATAGAATTATAAATCCCAACTTTGAGTATGATAACAACAGTACCATGGAGGGATATTAAACAACCTACATCCTATCTTCCTTTGCCTGTCTGGGGTACCATAGAACCATAGGCAAAATTACATAGTAATAATAATAACAATAACAATATCTTATATTACAAAGAACTGTGAAGCTTTGTCGGTGAAATTCATAGCAGTAAGGGAAAAAATGTATCCTTCAAGCGTTAACTCTCAGTATTTCCTTTCACACTATCTGCAGTATACCTAAATGGTCTAATAACAGAAGATGCTTTATAGTGTTTTCAGGTTTACAAAGTCCCTCCATCTTCATTCTGTCATTGGATCCTCATAACCACCCTTCGGGTTAAGTGCTTCAGGCATTATTCATCTTATTTTATAGATAAGGAAACTGAGTCTCAGAGAAGATAGGTACACAGCCAGCAAATAACAGAGGTGAGATTCAAACCCAGGTCCCTCCTGCCTCCAAATCCAGTATTCTTTCTACTGCTCCATCTTCCCTACTGGCCTGAAGTTGGAAAGAGAACATTATCCCCAATATTATCGCTCATATTGACAGTTCTGAAACTTATATTTACTTATTTATTACTAAATATTATTTGGCTACTCAGCACAGACATCAAAATAATGAAATTGTTCTTCAGAGTGATGTAAAGTGCTACAAGAATAACTTGGTTTTGAGTAAAATTATTTCACTATTATACATTAATGAGTCTAAATACCTTTTGAAATGAAAAATAGTTGATATTTATATAGTACTTTATATAATTATCCCATTGGATCCTCACAACAACCCTGAGGTAGATTTACTGTTCAAATTAATATCCCCATTTTACAAATGACAAAAGTAAGTTTCAGAGAGGTTAAGTGATCACACAGGTAATGAGTGATGAATCCAGAATATGAACCCAAGTTCAATTGACTATATGTCCAGTATTCTTTCCACTATTCTTAGCTGCTTTATTAGTTTAAAGCAACAGGTCTGTGAAAACCAGAAAAGCCTTTAACACCTAAAGGTGTGGGAATTTAGGCACTAATAGATTGTGGGCAGTGAATTGGGGAAAGAAATGGCTAGGGTTGCCCTGTATCCCTAAAATCACATTATTTTTATATAACTCTCTACTTTGCCTACTTATAAGGCTGATTGTTAAGGAAAATCATCGTTTTGGACAAAGATTGAAGCATCTCTTGGAAAATAGATAAAGGATTTCTGCCTGCCTACTGCCTACTAAATAAAGTCCAAGCTCCTTAGCACAATCTGTCCTCAACCTAACTTTTTACGTACTCTCCTTCATATGCTCTATGCCCTAGTCAAAATGGGCTATTTGCTGTCCCTGAAAATGTCCACTACTTTCTTGCCCCCATGCCCAAACTCATGATATTTCCTATACTTTGAATATCTTCTTTCCATCTATCTCTACCTTTTGAAATTATGGTCAGTTCAAGCTAAAAAAAGTGACCTCCATGTTGTCTTCCTTGAGGATCCTCTCCCACCATTGTTTTCTTCCAACAATGAACTCTCATAGAACCTTGCTTAAACCTCTTATATACATATGTATTATGTTCTATTTTCATACTGTAATTAAGTATGTGCATATCTTATTTCTGGGTTTTATTCTAGCCTGTATATGCTGGAAAACAAGTGCATACCAACACACCTGGCAAGCAGTATACTTATGATCATATAAGTCAGGTAGTCACACACTCTCATTTTACAGAAAAGGCAACCGAGACTCGTAGAGAGACAGTGACTTGTCTGAGGTGACAAGTAGGAAAGAAAAGAGCCAGAATTTGAACTCAGAGCTTCTACTCTAAAAAATAATTTGCTTTATAACCCTACCTTCTAGCTGCCAGTATTTCATATATTTACACTTTTACTTTGTTATTAAATATTATGATGAGACTTCCTTAGGTCAGCCATTCTTTATGACATCAGATTTCACAACTAATACCTTCTACTGATATGGAAGACCTTATTTAATCCATCCTGTATAAGAGGAATGCTTACCAATGGGTCCTAAATTGAGGGGCCAACTATGTGTTATGAATGGGAGAGATCCTTTCTAATACACAGCTGTGATCTTTAATGAGTCATGTGGATGAGATTTTGGAGATAACTTAATGTTTGTGAATAGGGTCAATCCCCCTCAATTGCAGACTGACTCCTTCAGTGGCAGAATTAGAAAATAAGTAAGATATCGTCATACCTTTAGAGCAGGAGCTGAGAAACAACCTAAGACCCTAGCAATAAGTCACATGATTAGGAATTGTAATATGATTTGAATAGAAGGCTCAGTGGATAGAGTGCTGGGCCTGTAGTCAGGGAGGCCTGAGTTCAAATCCTGTCTCAGACACTTGCTAGCTGTGTGACCCTGGGTAAGTCACTTAACCTCTGTTTGCCTTAGTTTCCTCATCTGTAAAATGAGCTAGATAAGGAAATGGCAAACCACTCCAGTATCTTTGCCAAGAAAACCCCAATGACAGTGTTGGTATGCTATGGTCCACAGGGTCACAGAGTTGGACATGACTGAATGGCAACAAGAGGTAGGTAGGACTCTGGATAGGTCTTCCAAAGTCTTAGCTCTTGAATTTTGTTTCTC